GATGCCATGGTACCTGTTGAAAAAGTCCTCTGGTTGGTGAATAGTTCATGTAGAAAGGGAGACAACTCCTGTTTACTTTCCAACTTCAACAAATCAGTTCCATGACAGGTTGGTACTGTTTCAACAAGTTACCGATCTTGTTGACTAAAACATTACACGAACTAGTTCCATTAGTTTAGTTTGAATCATGTTTAGTTAAAATGGTTGTGTTCCACCCCAATGAAAGTCCTGATTTCTTGTTTTTGAAAACATTTTTCAAGTGCAGTTTAGAATGTAGACAGAAGACCTGTGTTTCTTATGTCGAGAGTCAGCAGTCCATGTCTGTAAACTGCTGTCAGTAATAGATATAGATGTAATTTACAAGAGTGCTACATACATTTCATTGAGGTTAATTGCCTCAAAACGTTAAAGAGTGTTTTGTCAAACGCTCTAGTACAGTTTTGAATTCCAGATTCCACCTGATTCACCTCGATTCTGATCATTGTCCTGTCAACACAAAACTCATGAACATCCACAACATGCATCATGGCTTTCCTCCCACATTAAACAGACATCTCCTGTTACGAAAGAAGCAGCCTGCAAAATTGTGCTGCCCCAAGACTACTAAATTGTTTGAAGGACAAGACAAGATCCAATTATGTTGTGCTCACAAATAGCATACTAAAAGACTAAGCTGACCCTTTGTTTCTACTTGGTCATACCCAGCTAGTCTACAGCTCCAGGGCAGGGATTGACACCATTAGTCATACCAAGCTAGTCAACAGCTCCAGGAAGGGATTGACACCCTTGGTCATACCCAGCTAGTCTACAGCTCCAGGGCAGGGATTGACACCATTGGTCATACCCAGCTAGTCTACAGCTGAAGGATTGACACCCTTGGTCATACCCAGCTAGTCTACAGCTCCAGGGCAGGGATTGACACCATTGGTCATACCCAGCTAGTCAACAGCTCCAGGAAGGGATTGACACCCTTTGTCATTCCCAGCTAGTCTACAGCTCCAGGAAGGGAATGACACCCTTGGTCATACACAACTAGTCAACAGCTCCAGGAAGGGATTGACACCCTTGGTCATACCCAGCTAGTCAACAGCTCCAGGCAGGGATTGACACCCTTGGTCATATACAACTAGTCTACAGCTCCAGGGCAGGGATTGACACCCTTGGTCATACCCAGCTAGTCTACAGCTCCAGGAAGGGATTGACACCCTTGGTCATACCCAGCTAGTCAACAGCTGAAGGATTGACACCCTTGGTCATACCAAGCTAGTCAACAGCTCCAGGGCAGGGATTGACACCCTTGGTCATATACAACTAGTCTACAGCTCAAGGGCAGGGATTGACACCCTTGGTCATACCCAGCTAGTCTACAGCTCCAGGGCAAGGGATAGACACCATTAGTCATACCCAGCTAGTCTACAGCTCCAGGAAGGGATTGACACCCTTGGTCATACCCAGCTAGTCTACAGCTCCAGGGCAGGGTTTGACACCCTTGGTCATACCCAGCTAGTCTACAGCTGAAGGATTGACACCCTTGGTCATACCAAGCTAGTCTACAGCGAAGGGCAAGGGATAGACTCCATTAGTCATACCAAGCTAGTATACAGCTCCAGGGCTAGGGATAGACACCATTAGTCATACACAACTAGTCAACAGCTCCAGGGCAGGGATTGACACCATTAGTCATACACAACTAGTCAACAGCTCCAGGGCAGGGATAGACTCCATTAGTCATACCCAGCTAGTCTACAGCTCCAGGGCTAGGGATAGACACCATTAGTCATACACAACTAGTCAACAGCTCCAGGGCAGGGATTGACACCATTAGTCATACCCAGCTAGTCTACAGTGCAAGGGCAAGGGATAGACACCATTAGTCATACCCAGCTAGTCTACAGCTCAAGGGCTAGGGATAGACACCATTAGTCATACCCAGCTTGTCTACAGCTGAAGGATTGACACCATTAGTCATACCCAGCTAGTCTACAGCTCAAGGGCAAGGGATAGACACCATTAGTAATACCAAGCTACCCAACTAACCAAACTTGTAAGAGGCGACTAACAGGATCAGGTGGTCAAGCTCGCCAACTTGCATGGATCAGTTTTCATGATGTCAATCACTGGATTGTCTGGTCCAGACTCGATTATTTAAAGACCACCATCATATAGCTGGAATATTGCTGAGTGCGGCATTGAACAACAAACAAACATACTCAACTGGTCCACAGCTCAGTTCTGACTAGTGGTTTATGAAAAATAGCTTTGGCGAAAAGACAGCTTTGTTGTCATGGTGTTCACTAGTCTGAGACTAACAGTCATGTGTCATACCCTGTCCTGGTGTTCACTAGTCTGAGACTCATAGTCACGTGGCCATGTCATACCCTTTCCTGGTGTTCACTAGTCTGTGACTAACAGTCATGTGTCCATGTCATACCCTTTCCTGGTGTTCACTAGTCTGAGACTCATAGTCACGTGGCCATGTCATACCCTGTCCCAGTGTTCACTAGTCTGTGACTAACAGTCATGTGTCCATGTCATACCCTGTCCTGGTGTTCACTAGTCTGAGACTCATAGTCACGTGGCCATGTCATACCCTTTCCTGGTGTTCACTAGTCTGTGACTAACAGTCATGTGTCCATGTCATACCCTTTCCTGGTGTTCACTAGTCTGAGACTCATAGTCACGTGGCCATGTCATACCCTGTCCCAGTGTTCACTAGTCTGTGACTAACAGTCATGTGTCCATGTCATACCCTGTCCTGGTGTTCACTAGTCTGAGACTCATAGTCACGTGGCCATGTCATACCCTGTTCCAGTGTTCACTAGTCCTTGACTAACAGTCATGTGTCCATGTCATACCCTGTCCCGGTGTTCACTAGTCTGTGACTAACAGTCATGTGTCCATGTCATACCCTGTCCCAGTGTTCACTAGTCTGTGACTAACAGTCATGTGTCCATGTCATACCCTGTCCCAGTGTTCACTAGTCTGTGACATACAGTCATGTGTCCATGTCATACCCTGTCCCAGTGTTCACTAGTCTGTGACTAACAGTCATGTGGCCATGTCATACCCTGTCCCAGTGTTCACTAGTCTGTGACTAACAGTCATGTGGCCATGTCATACCCTTTCCTGGTGTTCACTAGTCTGAGACTAACAGTCATGTGTCCATGTCATACCCTGTCCCAGTGTTCACAGTGCAAGGGCAAGGGATAGACACCATTAGTCATACCCAGCTAGTCTACAGCTCAAGGGCTAGGGATAGACACCATTAGTCATACCCAGCTTGTCTACAGCTGAAGGATTGACACCATTAGTCATACCCAGCTAGTCTACAGCTCAAGGGCAAGGGATAGACACCATTAGTAATACCAAGCTACCCAACTAACCAAACTTGTAAGAGGCGACTAACAGGATCAGGTGGTCAAGCTCGCCAACTTGCATGGATCAGTTTTCATGATGTCAATCACTGGATTGTCTGGTCCAGACTCGATTATTTAAAGACCACCATCATATAGCTGGAATATTGCTGAGTGCGGCATTGAACAACAAACAAACATACTCAACTGGTCCACAGCTCAGTTCTGACTAGTGGTTTATGAAAAATAGCTTTGGCGAAAAGACAGCTTTGTTGTCATGGTGTTCACTAGTCTGAGACTAACAGTCATGTGTCATACCCTGTCCTGGTGTTCACTAGTCTGGGACTCATAGTCACGTGGCCATGTCATACCCTGTCCCAGTGTTCACTAGTCTGTGACTAACAGTCATGTGTCCATGTCATACCCTTTCCTGGTGTTCACTAGTCTGAGACTCATAGTCACGTGGCCATGTCATACCCTGTCCCAGTGTTCACTAGTCTGTGACTAACAGTCATGTGTCCATGTCATACCCTCATAGTCACGTGGCCATGTCATACCCTGTTCCAGTGTTCACTAGTCCTTGACTAACAGTCATGTGTCCATGTCATACCCTGTCCCGGTGTTCACTAGTCTGTGACTAACAGTCATGTGTCCATGTCATACCCTGTCCCAGTGTTCACTAGTCTGTGACTAACAGCCATGTGTCCATGTCATACCCTGTCCCAGTGTTCACTAGTCTGTGACATACAGTCATGTGTCCATGTCATACCCTGTCCCAGTGTTCACTAGTCTGTGACTAACAGTCATGTGGCCATGTCATACCCTGTCCCAGTGTTCACTAGTCTGTGACTAACAGTCATGTGGCCATGTCATACCCTTTCCTGGTGTTCACTAGTCTGAGACTAACAGTCATGTGTCCATGTCATACCCTGTCCCAGTGTTCACTAGTCTGTGACTAACAGTCATGTGTCCATGTCATACCCTGTCCCAGTGTTCACTAGTCTGTGACATACAGTCATGTGTCCATGTCATACCCTGTCCCAGTGTTCACTAGTCTGTGACTAACAGTCATGTGTCCATGTCATACCCTGTCCTGGTGTTCACTAGTCTGAGACTAACAGTCATATGTCATACCCTGTCCCAGTGTTCACTAGTCTGAGACTAACAGTCATGTGGCCATGTCATATCCTGTCCCAGTGTTCACTAGTCTGAGACTAACAGTCATGTGGCCATGTCATATCCTGTCCTGGTGTTCACTAGTCTGAGACTAACAGTCATGTGGCCATGTCATATCCTGTCCAGGTGTTCACAAGTCTGAGACTAACAGTCATGTGTCATACCCATGTGCATCCACCGATGCATCGGTGTATCGTCCAACTGCTACAAAATATCTTAACAGTATTTTTATTCTGCTTTACCTTTTAGCTCACCTGAAGAGAGGGTTGAATTGAGCTTACACCATGACACGATGTCAGTCAATACCTTTTACGTTTTTCCCTCACCTCTGAAACGGTAAAGCGAGTGTTGGCGGAACATTGCGATAATATTACCAACAAATGTGTCTCGAAAAAAATAATTACTGTGATTAAAAAGTGACCTGTCCTCACCATCACATACCTGTTCACATCCATTGTGTTTTGTTTGCAGCTGTTTGAGGGGATGAAGGCCTACAGGTGTGTGGACAACAAGATCCGTTTGTTCCGGCCCATGGAAAACATGAAGAGAATGAACAGGACCGCAGAAAGATCAGCTCTGCCGGTGAGTTACCAGAAAGTCTGCTTCAAGGATCATATTGTACCCAATCTGCTTAAGGTTTTTCGGGAAAAAATAATGTGTGAGAAGGAAAACCAACTCTTATGAATGGTGGCATTCTTGACATCAATGCCTGTTTTGACCCCAGTGGCGTTTCACAGTTAGATACTTGTCGTAAGAGGTGATTTATGGATCAGGGCCCACTTGCACAAAGCGATCTTAGCGCTAAGATGATCCTAACTCCCATACTTTAACATAGGCTTACAATAGTCTTAGCGCTAAGATCGTTTTGTGCAAGTGGGCCCTGGAACCTGTTCCACAAAGCGATCTTGGTGCTAAGTTGGTCGTAACTCCCATACTTTATCATAGGCTTACGATCAACGTAGCACTAAGATCGCTTTGTGGAACAGGGCCCAGGTAGTCAGACACAGTGTCATGTGTGACATCTTGGATTAATGCTCTTGATGTCAATCACTGGTTTGTTTGGTCCAGACTCGATTATTTAAAGGCCATCGTCATTTATCTAGAATATTGGTGTGCCATGTGGTGTTAAACAACAAACAAACATATAAAAACTTGTGGCAAGTGGTAGGAACACTCATCATGCTCTCGACAGACTATGATATGGAATGCTGTGGTTTACTTCTTAAGACTTTTTGTGGTGCATTGGCCAAGTTGTTTATATGTTTGAAAAACAAAGAAATTGTTATAAATGTACATAAAAATTCCATGTTTTCGTGATCCTTATGATCCCTTTTAGTTTTATTACAAGCTCAGGGCTCCAGATAACTTTTTTAGCAATTGAATTTTACTCAAAGGTTTCTATTTATATTGGGTTATTACATTTTTTATTGGGTAACTAATATTTTTTCACTCATCTATTCATCACTCTTTTGGGGTTTTCTCAAAATCAGTAAACATTTTGAGATTTCAAAAAAAAAAAGAAGAATGTTTTAGATGTATTTAAAGGTTCTAACTATACGCTTAACTCGGAAAGTAAATTAGCTCGTGATTGTGTTTCGGAAATTAGCTCCATTGTACGCATGCTCAAAAAGCTTCAGTGGGTATTTACGCATGCTGTTTTTATACATTTGAGCTTTTCATTATATGCATGCATTTCTGTATGCATGTAAATTGAAAGTAATTGGGTTTTGAATATTTTTTGGGGTATTTTACGCAAATACGCAGCTTAGAAAAAAGATGTAAAACTCAAATTTCTTTGTATGTAGGATTTGTATAATGATGTGATGACTCCTGCTTCATAGTGTTGAGGTGTTTTGTTCAGACTTTTGACGGCGGTGAGCTGGTGAAGTGTATGAGCAAGCTGATCAGCATTGACAGCGAGTGGGTGCCGTACTCGGACGCCTGCAGCCTCTATATCAGACCCACTCTCATCGGCACCGATGTAAGTTCTCTACCCCGAGTCATAGAACACGGCCCACAGGGAGTTCGTGACATACAACTATCCTAACAACATACAACATACTTTTCATTAGCCATATTGCTATTATCCTTTGTAAGTGGCCGAAGTCTTTAGTTTGAATCTTATACATGGATAGCTCAACCTCCTCTCCCATAAGGTAAAGTCTAGGGCAGGGTTGCTTAGTGGTCGCCATGTTGCTTGCTGTGCAGAGTTGCATCCCTTAGCTGCCAGGATTCGCTGTTCTTTGTGTGAATCTTGTGCCACAATTATAAGATTTGTCATCTGCTTGTGGCGCCACCAAAATGGTAAAGGTCTTTGACCTGCATCACTTTCTGCCCAAATTAAGCTGGTACCTGATCGCAATCAACTCACTCACTGACTCATGCTTTCAGAATACTCTTGTCATGGAATCCATGGCAACATTAAAGCAGCTGTTGCTGAAATTAACTTAAATAGTGTAAATGTAAATATATTTCACATGACCAAATTTTCTATCGTCTTTGTCATGGATGAGTGACTGTGCAAGGTGGGGTAGCTGTTCAAGTGTCTTCTTGTCACACTGAAGGCCAGGGTCAAATCGACCAGTGAAGATCCGGGGTAGAATAGGTCTTCAGCAACCCATGCTTATCGTAAAAGGTGACTATGCTTGTCGTAAAAGGCGATTAACGGGATCGGGTGGTCAGGCTCGCTGACTTGGTTGATGCATGTCATCGATCCCAATTGCGTGGATTGATGCGCATGATGTCAATCACTGGATTGTCTGGTCCAGACTCGATTATTTACAGACCGCCGTCATAGAGCTGGAATATGCACTCTCTTGTGCAAGTCTATTCACCCCACACTCTGTTTGTGTCCCATGGAGGTCTCACACAGTTCTGGGTCAGTAACCAATGCTTGTTGGAAAAAAACCCACTCAAATGAGGATTGGGTGGTCAAAATGTTGGCCCTGGCTGACTTTGTGTTTGTACCTCAGGGATGTTATGTCGTTGCTCATGCTATCAACCACTGGTATTTTACAGGCTGCAGTGATATATTCCACTCAAAATATGTTAAAGAACCAGATTTTTTTCTTATGACTAGTTAATATGTCATGCCATGACAGATTAACTTTGGTCATGAAAACATCAGGTGTTCTTTAACTTCTTTTGAGTAGTATAGTTTGGATATTGCTGACTTTTGTGTAAACACATTCACTCACTCACTCACTCACTAATCAAGTCTGATTTGGGATCTTTAGGCAAGACATCTTTTTGAGTTTGTCATTCACTTCACATGCATGCATCACTGACTTTCATTCTATGGCTTGTCACAATGGCTGATATCTGTGACTTGGGGGTATTTTCATTTCAGAAAATTATGATAAGAGTCTTGCCATCACCAAAATTGTTAAATATATCTTCAGATCATTTGTGATGACAATCAGTCAATGCTTGGAATTGAACCAGTTTGAAACCCTCAATAAATGCTTTTGGATTTTAGAAACTGAAATGACAACCAATACTCAAAGGCTTTTTTAAATCATGCAATAAAAAAAGTAAAAAACTGGGTGAACCTTAGTTGATAACGTGGATAAAACAGATGTTCTTTTCTTATTGTTTCCAGGGCAGTCGGGTAGCCTAGTGGTTAAAGCGTTCGCTCATCACGCCGAAGACCCGGGTTCAATTCCCGACATGGGTACTATGTGTGAAGCCCATTTCTGGTGTCCCCCGCCGTGATATTGCTGGAATATTGCCAAAAGCGGCGTAAAACCATACTCACTCACTCACTCTTATTGTCTCCATATTTCTCCACTTCAGTTCAAGGGGCCAGAATTGATGCCATTTTTCTTTGCAGGAGTTGAGGCCCTTGCTTCTACAGCCAATCACAGCGTAGCTTTGGTCGCATCTCATGCCATGCCCACCATAATGCTGTCGTAGGCACGTGGTTCCACCGTTTTCTCATACTCATACATTGCTCTTATACTTGCATGGTGAAACAAAATATTGAAGGATAATATTTCGATTGAAAAAACATGGATGATACAGTTGCTGAATGAATTTTAGAATGTTGGATGACATTAAATGTTTTTATATTATAACCAACAGTTTTCTGAAAATGTGAATTTTGTGTTCAAGGTTCTTTTTCTTCCGAGGGAAGGATTTGAACTCAATGTTTTGTTTCATCATTGTGTTCAGCGAAGCTCGTTACCATGGTTACCATCGGGCATCCATGGTAGCCATGGATACAAGTTCAAACATTGATATGAACTATGCTTCTTATGTATTAACACATGATAAGGTTGAAAATCTTAACATTGGAATCACTCATTAGGAAAACAGTTTTGGAAGGAACAACAGAAATGAATAACTGCCACCGAAGGAATAAGTTTTGCAACTTTTAAGACTTCTTGGTTGCAAACTTCTGCTACAGACTTTTATTCTACTTACCGTAGTGTCACGGTTGTAAGCACACGGGGCCTTTGTGATTAGTTTAAGAATGATTCTCAAAAGCTAGTTTTTTAGTTGAAATTTACATCATGTGCACGTGTTGACCTGCTTATCTTGATCTTTTTCAATTATTTCTGAATTTTTCAAGCCACCAACATGCATCGCCCCTGACTTCATTGTATTATCCTCTCTGTTTTGTTCAACTAGAAGTTCAAATTACAATTTACATGTTCAGAACTCTAGCTTAGAAACTTAGAAATTCAATTCTCAACGGTTTGTAAATTGGAAACGAAAAATATTTGTCATGTAAATTTGATTAATGTTGTCCACACATTGAATGGCACCCATCATGATCATGGCGAATGCTTCTATTTGTATTCCCTTGATACACAGTAGTCGCAATTAATCTTCCCATATCAGGCATTTATGTTATCTTGATACGGATGAAATGGTTACAGATTAATTTATTGGTCTATTGAACAATACGGAGACCGGGAGCGTCATGAGTCATGTTGTTTAGAAAGTCAGTGTGCGTGACTGTGAAGATTTTGTCATGCTGTACACCCGTCCAGCATCTGCTCTTGTTTCGTTTTTGCAATGGATTTATGTCTGATAGGAAAAGAAACTTAATGTAAAACTAATTTCCGACTAGTAACAAATTACCATGGCAGCTGCTAGAGGATGGTGAAAAAGGAAAGTTAATATCTCATAATTAATAATCACCCTAGTACCATCCTAGTAAAAAAAATGTGGGGTACATAAATAATTTTGAATGTCATTGTCATCAAAAAGGTAAAGATTTGGTATCAGCGTGGTGTGTCGATGTGTAGGTGGGACATTGTTCACGACACCTGTATGGAAATATGCATTGTGTGCAGGAGGCAGTGCAGAACTCCTCTTGTTACCTGCCTTGTGACAGCGCCACCTTCCTAGTTCTTGGAGTAAGAGTAGGGAGATGAGCCATTACCGTACTGTACCTATTTACTGGGTATGCTGTAGAAATATAAATGTGTGCATTGTGTGGAGGAGGCTGTGCAGAACTCCTCTTGTTACCTGCCTTGTGACAGCGCCACCTTCCTAGTTCTTGGAGTAAGAGTAGGAGATGAGCCATTACCGTACTGTACCTATTTACTGGGTATGCTGTAGAAATATAAATGTGTGCGTTTTGTGATTCAGGCATGTGTGAGTTCAACCTTAATACATCTGTTGTTGCTGAAGATGTTTGTCCCAGGTGAAAGGAATGGTATTGTCTGAATGCATCGATTGTACAAGGGATTAACAAGTCTGTTTGAATGTGTCCCTGGCAACAGACTGTTGAGAATGCATCAATCATGATTGTGTGTAACCATGGTAACAGACTGCTAAGAATACATGTCATGTTTGAGTGTAGCCTTGGTAACAGACCAATGTTAATGCATGTCATGTTTCAGTGTAACCATGGCAACAGACCAATATTAATGCATGTCATGTTTGAGTGTAACCATGGTAACAGACTGCTAAGAATGCATCAGTCATGTTTAGACTTTAAGTGTAATCATGGTAAGAAACCAAATTGTTTCATCAGTCTGCTTGAGTGTAACCATGTAACCACTGCCTCCTGAACAAGAGCAAGCCTTATGTCATGAAGGCATGTATCTCTCTTAGCTTTAGTCGGGGCGGTGGGGTAGCCAAGTTGTTACATCACAAACATTCCCCCCATGGGTACAACGTGTGAAGCCCATATTCCTGGAATATTGCTAAACTCACTCACTCACTCACTCACTCACTCACTCACTCACTCACTCACTCACTCACTCACTCACTCACACACTCCACTCACTCACTCACTCACTCACTCACTCACACACTCCACTCACTCACTCACTCACTCACTCACTCACTCACTCACTCACTCACTCACTCACTCACAAGTTTGTAGTCTGTGTCAGTAGGGGACATGGTCTTGTGGAGGCCATGTGATGGGAGGGTGTATCTCCAGTAGCTTGTAGTTGTCTGTCGGACTGTGCCAGTATGGTAGGATGGCGATGAAAACATGTATCTCAAGTATCCTGTAGTTTCATCTCTGTCAAGGACTTGGGGGCTGCCTGGCAACGCTCAACAGCCATGTGCCAGCCAGTGTAGGGGTATAATAGGGTCCCGGGGAGTCCATGTGATGAAGACACGTATCTCAGTGGTCTTGTAGTTTTATCTCTGTCGAGGACTTCGGGGCTGCAATGTGACACTCAACAGCTCTCAAGGAGGCAGAGATAACAGGTTGTTGAGGAGGAATGTAGTAGGGAAACCATGTCACTCCGTCAGCTTGCATGTGGGTAGCAGGTGCCTTGGATTACAGCATCAGGTTAATGTCAGCTTGTGTGTGTGGGTAGCAGGTGAATCGGCTTACAGCATCAGGTTAATGTCAGCTTGTGTGTGTGGGTAGCAGGTGCCTTGGATTACAGCATCAGGTTGATGTCAGCTTGTGTGTGTGGGTAGCAGGTGAATCGGCTTACAGCATCAGGTTAATGTCAGCTTGTGTGTGTGGGTAGCAGGTGCCTTGGATTACAGCATCAGGTTAAT